ATCTACACTTAAGCATATGATAGTCAAACTGCCAAAAAATAAATAAATAAAAGGAAAACAAAAACTCTTGAAAGCAGATAAAAGCTGGGAGGAGTGGGAGGGAGGACATAGTTGACAACAGAAATGGTGGCCAGAAGACAATGGTATGATATCTTTGAGTTCTGAAAGGAAAAAACCTACCAACTCAGAATTTTATAGCTGATGAATATATCCTACAATCTGACAGTGAATTTAAAACATGTTTAGACCAACAAAAGCTGAAAGTACTTTCTCTAGCAGATCTGCACTACATGAAGTGCTAAGAGAAGTTTTGCAGAATGAAGAGTAATTGTATCAGATGAAAACCTGGTACTGCAGGAAGGAATAAAAAACTCCAAAGAGGGAAAATATGTCAGCAAATCAAAAAATTTAAACTTTTTCCATATGTGTACATGTATGTATAAATTCCTTTACAATATTTTAACCATTTAAAGGAAAAAATAATGACAACATATTTTACTTCTGTCCAGCATAAGTAGAAGTAAAATAAATGGCAACAAGAACACATAGAACTAAAGGTGGTAATTGATAGTTTACTGTTCTAAGAAGACAATGGAGAGAATAAGAGAGGAATATTTGAGGAAATTATTGTCAAGAACCTTCTAGAACCAAAGAATGACACAAACTCTCAGATTGAGTGAGTGCCACCACCACAACCCGTAAGTGTCCAAGTACCCAAAAGGATATTCTTTTAAACTCAACCTACAGACAGAGTGAAGTTTCCGAACTTCAAGGACACGTAGAAAATATTAAAAGTTACCTATGAAAAGGCAGATTACTGATAAAAGTACAAATTCAGACTAACATCTCGTTTCTCAGTAACAATGCTAGATACAATGGAGCAGTGTGCCTATATTGCCCCACCAAATGGCTTTTTAAGAAAGAAAATAAATGAAAACATCCTTATACATTCAAGCCTCAGAAGGTTTAGCACCCACGGATGATTTTCTAAAGAAATACTACAAAATATATTTCATCTAAAAGACAATGAACACAAAAGAAAGAAGTGGGATGTAAGAAACACATAAACAAAGAATACAGTAAATTAATTCTAAAGTATTTAAAAGGACTAGCAATTTATTTATTTAAAAAGTCATAGTAATTTAGAAGTAGCATTTCAGATTATATGTACATTGAAAGTGTAGGACAAGCAAAAAGAAGTAAAGGTTCTTGTCTTGGTCTAGAGAGGGGTATACACTAACACTTGTTTTTATGATAAAAATATATGGCCCTATATATAAATTTAAATGCGGGGGACAAAATCAATAGAAGAATAGAAACAGAGTATATAGCTTTAAACCAATAGAGGGAAAAGTGAAACAAAGAGTACTTACTAATTTTATATGTTTGTAAATGCATATAAAATTATACAGAAGGAAAATACCATGCTTTTCTGTATGTTTGCCTGATGTGTACCTGTGTATGCCTATGTGTAAACATTGTGTGTGTATCCATGTGTGTGCGTCATTGTGTCTGGGTAAAAATACTGTTATATACTATTTTTCTTCACAAAAATAGGATCACACCATACTGTTTCAATGAGCTGTCTCTTTCACACATCATGCCATAAATACTATTACCAACATCACCTGTCAAACAACCCTCAAGGTGCAAGAAGTCAGGAAGGGTGATTATCTTAGGACCCACAGCTTACTATAGACAGTCCTGGGAAAACAGTGGAATGGAAAAGTTGGTTCATTTGCCCCCAGGAACACGTTGTAAGTGGGCTGTTAACACTGGGCACTAACCCAGAGCTCAGATACTATTAGTTCTAGCCCTTTCCTGGAGAGCAGAGGCCCTGGTGCAAGGAACAGAAGAAGACTCAAGGTCTTAAATTCTTGCTCACTGAGCAGTAGAGCCCAATTGTTCTGAGCATTTGCTCCCAAGACAGACTGCCTGTGTTCTAGTGCCAACTCCATCACTTCCTAGCTGTATGGCTTTGGGCACATTGCTTAATCTTTTTGTGCCTCTATTTTCTTACCTGTAAAATGATGATAATAATAGAGCCCCCTAATAAGGGTGTAGTGATAATCAAGCTGATATATGTAAATCACTCAAATAATGCCTGGCACATAAAAAATAATTGATGTTATGCCTAGAATTTAGGAGAAGTAGATAGAGGTACGAATAGAGCAGGACCATGGATGATGGGCACACAGTGCTCTATTTTAGGGTGTGTTCAAAAGACCTCTATAAATATAACTGTTAGGAGCTACTAAAGCAGGTGCACAGCTTCACTGTGGCCACAATATTGTTGAAAGATAAGGCGTTGCTGCACAAAGTAGCAAATGTTATCTCTTCTTGCCTAATAGTGTGATCTTGGTCAAGGTGTTAACCCCTCCTGTTCCTCCCCCACCCCCTAAAACCTTGTCTCTCAGGCAGCCTCATGGATGTCTCCAATATTTTCATGAAAATGTTAGCTTAAGTTTTTATAACCTAGCTAAAAAGGAAGCAGGGAAGCGGAGTGAGAGGGAGAAGAGCTGAATCATTGACATGAAGCTCAGCTGGCCTTACAAAACACACTTAGATGATGGTTCTCTTCATAGACTACATTAAGGTGGGAAGAAAGGGGACATAATTTGAGTGGACAAAAAAAAAAAAGATGGGGCAGCAGGAAGGGAAGGGAGGGACCCAGGTTTGGGCAGGAAACTTCTCTATCCAAATGGGGTTTGTGTCGGCCTTGAAGGGAGCACAAGAAATTACAGGAAAGAGGAAAGTTACCTTCTGAGTATTGTGTGCTACTCCAGCGTAGTTCAGGACCAGCAGCACCAGTATCACCTGGGAGCTTGTTAAAAATAGAGACTTTTTGCTCCAACCCCAGACCTCCTAAGTCAGACTGTATTTTAACCAGGTGCCCAGGTGATTCTCATGCACATTGAAGCGTGAGACTTACCACCTAACCCAGGACCTAGACACAGCTGGCTTTTAGTAAATGTCTGGATAGATAGCTGGACAAATGAAGAAAAACAGTGCAAACTTTGCTTTCATCCAGCCAGCTTGCATTCATTCTGCATCACACGGTGTAGAATTGTCTAAGGCTGTGATTCTTTGGTTCTCCCTCAGCTACAAATTAGAATCACCCAGGGTGCTATTAACACCAGCCAAGCAATTCCCATCTCCAGTTTCTGATTCAATTGGTCTGGGGTGGGCTCTAGTCTAAAGTGGTGGCAGCTGATTTTATTTTTGCAAGACCATCTGTACCAAGTAAGAGGGCTGCCAGTGAGGATCCAGGGATGCGCCATTGAGTCTACCCTTGCTGAAGACACAGCCAGTGAATATTTCAGGAGTTAATGCCATATGGAAAATAAACATTTGCCCCAATTTAGGTTGCCTTTTCTTCCTGCCAGTGCTCCAGAATATATGAACCATAGCTCTTAGTGTGGGTGGTTGGAGGGGTAAGAGGCTGATGTGTCTGAGGTGGATGTTAAATTGTTTGACCTTTCTCCAAATAGATTAACCCATTGCCTGAGTCATGTTTCTACTCTATAGGCCTATTCTTCCTCCCTAACCTGCCTCCTGCAACACACACATACAGAGAGGCCAAAAATTACCATAGGGAGCTTAGGTAACGCCACTTCTAGTGTGCCTCTTTTCCTTGGTTTTCTGAGCTCAGAGAGAGGGTAAGCAGCAAAGCTGTCAACCAGCCTTGAAGCTGGGCCTTCAGTGGCTGTCCTTGAATACTGCAGATGTGTGGGTTTTCATCAACCCCTTTCTGGTTGGGAATTACCTATTCCTGGGCCACCCCACCAGTAAGGAAATGCACTTTAGCATAATTGGTCCAGCTGCATCCCTGAGCAGCATTCACCACCCGGAAAATCTAATAAAGGAAGTCATATCTTCTGCCTCTCTCTTTGGAACTTCTCTTAATTAAAATTCTGCCTACTGCAAGATGAGAACAATGGAGAGGTGAGACTTGGGCAGTGGCCCATCTGTCCATCGTTTTCTCATTAAAAACTTTTAGGGAAAAGCTCAAATGTCTTCACACTTCAGAATTCATTGAGGCAATCTGGACATCTCAATCCCCTTTCCTTTGTCTTCATGGTCTCATGCAGGGAGAAGAAAAATGAGGAAAAATAAATGATGAGTGAATAAACAATGCTAAATCCAAGTTAAGAAGAAGGATATTTAAACATGAAAGCCACAAGTTGTGACGAAGGAATGTGAGTAGGTGAAATTAGCCCTGACTTCCAAGTGCTTTGATCAGTTTGAGGATTGGAAAACTTCTAAGGGCATGAAATGCCTGTGCCAGAGTGGCATCCTGGAAGGGAGAGAGTGATTAAACTCCAGGCTGCCTGTCAGAGATGTTCCAGTCTCTCCTCACTTCTGATGCTTCTATAGAGTTTTCACATGAGAGCAGGCTGTCACCATTTGGGAAGAGACAGCATCCTCTTGCTAACTCCTCCTCCCTTTGATGCCTGTAGAACTTGGCCATTAAAATCTGCCTTGGGCTAAAACTCAGCAGGCAAGTTTCCAGTCCGAGAACAGCTTTGACAAAATTTTAATAAAATTTAATAAAACCTAGTTTTGATTGGCAATAAGGGATCTGAGTTAGAGAAAAGTTTACCCACGTGTTTAGATAGACACGTGGGATGGCCACACTTTCACCGTGGAATGCTACACAGCAGTAACTCTGGCCTGTTGGCATTTTGTTCACAACTGCTGGTGTCTTTGATCCAAGAATCACATGAGGGAATTGAGAGTTTTCTTATGCATCATTAAGGCATTTAAAAGGTCCTAGGTTTGGGTGAATTTTGCAAACTTCAGTATTCTTCTGTACCAGCTAGCTAGAGATTAAAAAGCTTTAAAAGAAAATAAAGGGCAAATTTATTTCAAGGAGTTTATTTAAAGTGAAGCATTTGGTTGAATTTGGTTTTCAATTAATAGAATAATTGCATTGTTTGGAAACACAAACAAAAAAATGCTTTCTTTTAAAAACTTAACTTTGTTATTTTGATCTGCTCTATAAGATTCTTAGTAAAGAAGGTTACCTTACTTCTGAATATGGTTGGCATGCCTGCCACATGTGGTTTTGTTTGTACTTCATTCAAAAACACAGAAAAAAACATTAGAGTGCCTCAAAATAATCAACCCATTCAATGCCTTTTGCCACTCTCCTTCTACATGCCTACAACACCCAGGGGATTTGCAAGTGGCAATCCTACCACTTATGGTTTGTTAGGAACTGTGTGGCTACTCACAGTGATGGCATCGTTCCTAACTATGGACATGTCCCATCACCTTACAGAGAATAATTGAAAGCTTCTTCTCTAAGAACTTAGCCTTATTGAAAGGTTATTGCATAGAGAAACAACCAGTTGGCATATGAAACAAGGACCCTCCAAGTGCCTCCTTCAAGGATCCTTATCGATAGATGTATTTTGTTGGCAAAGACTGAAAGGTCCTTACAAAAAAGCCTCATTTGTGCCCTGTTCTCCTTAGCCCAGTTGTTCATTTCATTAAGGTCATAGAGAAACATGTTCCAAGAATGCTATGCAAATTATCTAAAATTAGTGTGAGACTATTTTCACCCTACCCACCCCCTACTCTACTGATGCTAAGTATATATTTATATATATACATATACAAAGCAGAGACTGTAAGTTGCCCAACTCCCATGAATGCCTGCAGCCTAATACTAGTGAAGAAAAGATATTTGCTAAATATTTGTCTTTTCATAACTAGAACTATTCAAATACCATTTGATCCTTTTGGGATCCAAACTGGTATAGTAACATTAAAGTTTAGTTGTTTGCATTTTAAAGCACAAAGAAGCCAACTCTATTGTCTTGGTTGATCTATGTTTTCTTGCTGCACTAGCAGATGAATCTTATGTATTTGTGTATTTTGGTTCCATCTCTCCTGGTATCATAGATACAAGGAATATAATCTCTGACATGTATTGCAACGCCAGAGCGATATGGTAGTGAAAGGCTTCTAGGACAAGTTTTCCTAAAAGCTCATCCTTGCAGGTCAGCTCTTCTCCTTAAAAGTATATACTAACTCCTAAGAGAAAAATTATTTTTAATGGTTCCTGGTTTTTGTCTCTGGGAGACTGTTTTGCATGTAAATTCCTTTGGACCAGGGTCAGGGATATCCTTTCTGTAAGCCTTTTGGGTGTATTTTCAGGGCAGCCAGTTTGACCTGCATTAACTAAAGTCTATCAGTTGGTTGATTTTTTTCCATCATATTTTGGACCAGAACCCTCAAGATCTCATGTGCCCATTAGTCCCCGCCCAAAGTCAGATGATTTCCCACAGAGCCAAATATAGAGAAAACAAAACAAAACTCACGGAGCCCCCTGTAGGAGGAAGAGGAGGAGTGTTCCACTTTCAGAGCAGCTTAAACTACAGCCTGTATTCCCACAATGGAGAGAGTATCCATTCACATCTTGTACATGTTCCCAAGGGCCATGACAGGTAATATTTTGCCATCAGGATGCTCAACTCGTGGCCTGCATTAGATAATGCATAAGTCCTTATCTCAGATTGCTTTTGAGCTAGTTGAGAGAGTAAAATATAGACACATAAAATGACTAGTAAACTGTTAGCAAACAAGTGCTAAGATATATGTCTGGAGACTAGTTAATGAAATGCACCAAATCTGTGTTTCTAAAACCCCTCAGTTTGTAATGGTTGGTCGTCTACCATAAACCCAGCATCTCTAGTAATAACCCTCGCTTCCAATTTTAATTCAGCAAGCTTAGTCATGGATAATTTCTCATTAATCTCCTAGTCAATGAGATTCTGTTACAGAGGGACTGAATGACTTTTTAAGATAGACTAGTGGCACCCCAAAAGACAATATAAGCCAACAAACAGTACACTCTATTTTCTAGCTGTTTTGACCTAGAGATGACTATTATGACTCAATACATCTATTATTGGAAACAAAACATTTTTAAAAGTGACTTACTGTTGTAACTAAGCAAAACCCACAAATCCAAAAGTCATGTGGTCATGGTATCACATGCGTTGAATTGTCAGCTACAGACTTCCACCAAAAAACAGTGTAATATTCATTTGCACAGTCAAAACAAACTTTTATTAAATGCTTATGCCATGCCAAGACCAAAATATACAAGATAAGTGGGAAAAATATTAGGAAACATACAAATGAACAAATCAATAAAATGCAGAGTGATAATTACTATTAGCAAAAGAATCTAGAAAGTACTAACAGAGCACTTATAGTACAATGAAAGAGTTTGATAAAGAATCAGGAAAGGCACTCCAGAGAAGGTGGCATTTGATATGGGCCTTGAAGGATAAATAGGAGTCCATGAGAAGTGGCAGCACAGCGTATGTTCACAAACCACTATAGCTACAGTTTCCAATATGAAGTTTAGAAGTATGTGAACACACAACACTTCTAAGAGGAGCAGTGAGTGGTTTGGCAGGGCTGGAAATAAGGACATAGGGAGCTTCTTTGTTAAGAAAAGATAGTTTTAAGAGTGTGAAGGCCCTTATGTGCTCTGCAAAAGACCAAGTATGGGACTAATTGCTTTTAAGCAGGAGGATGACATGATTAGTATGTCAAAGATATCTAAAAGGAGAGACACGAGATGGGAAGGGAAGACCCGTGTTACAATAGCCAGACAAAGAGGTAATAAGAACCTGAATTATTTATATGTTTATTTGTTTGTTGCCTTGTTTGTTTCCTATCTTGTTTCAGAGGAAATTGAAGGGAGCATCTAAAAATGCACAAAATACAAAAATGGTATAAAATAAATGTAAACCCAAAGAAGAATGAAAAACAAAGATCAAATGGGTCCATTTGAGATGGAGCACAAATGAAGAGTTAAAAATAAATGTTCTGCATATTGGTTACTGATTGCCCAAGAGAAGTATAACTCAACTCACTCTTCTCAGTATTAACCCAAAACAGGAACTTCTCCTGAGTGAAAGAAAGGCTCTGGAAAGTCATGAATAACACCCTCAAAATTTCCTTCAGCTAGCTTTGCAGACCTAATTTGGTACAGGGTTAGATTTGATCTGGATGGGCCCTTAAAACCATCCTCCTTTCATATTGTTTCTCTAGGCTGAGCACTTGATAAAAACCGGATGGTCCAAAGCTAGAAAAGGCCTCAACTAACAAGGATCTGAAGCTACTCTGTACTGTTATTGATCACAGGTCTTTTATCTTAGGAGATGATCAGTTTAAAAACAGGACCAGTATCTCATGAAAGTTGAACTTGGCTCTCCATAAAAATGGAAACCTCAAGAGAAAACCTGTCCCCAGTGGAAGTGAGGCAAGGGAGAATAGGCAGGTAAGAAATGTCTTGAACAAAGGCAGAGATGACTTGGATGGAAAAGAGAAGATGTTTGAGAAATAATTCCAAGGCACAATTGTGTTCCAAGGGCTGTTCACAACTTGATGTGGAATATGAGAGAAAAAGAAAGCAGAGTTGAAGTTGCACTCAAATTCTTCACTTGGGCACTTGGATGAATGATAGTGACAGAAGAAAACAAATAAGAAAGAATGACTAGAGTTTTTAAAAAAGATGATTGGATTCCATTTTGGTAAAGTAATGTTAGAAATAAGGTGTTCCAGAAGCAGTTAGAAATAAAACCCTAAAGCTCAAGTGAGACGTCTGGACTAAAATTATAAATGAATAAATCACTGAACTCTTGGAAGGAGACGAAAACCTAGTAATGAAAGAAGTCACCCAGGAAATACCTAGGCATGAGAGAAAAGAAGACAAGAGGAGAGAGGCAAGGCAGAGGACTGAGGAAAGAACATTGGAGCAGAAACAATGAGTACTGATGGGAAAATAGGAAGTATTGAAAAGGATCAAGAAAATAATTCACAGGTTGAGAACAATGAAAAAGTGATATTGCAGAAGCGCATAGAGGAAAAGGAGAAGGAAATGTCCAATTGAGCTAGCCCTACAAAGGTTTCAAGAGAGATGGGGACCCAAAAGATGCAACATGGTTATCAGGAATCTTAGTCATGATGGTTTCCAGGGAAGCTATCTAAGAAATTAACTCTGGTGGCCTAATACATGAATGCAAGGTGAAAGAGTAGAGAAGGTATGCGTGGGCTACTCGTATAAGAAATCTGGCAACAAAAGCAATTATAGACAAGTGGGAATACACCAAACTAAAAATATTTTATATAGCAAAGAAAATAATCAACAGAATGTAAAGGCAACTATGAAATGGGGAAAATATTTGTAACCCATATATCAAATAAAGGGTTAATTTCCAAAATATATAAGAAACATCTGCAACTCTACAGCAAAAAATCATATAACCCAATTTTAAAATGGGCAAAGGACTTATACAGACATTTCTTCAAAGACATACAAATGATTAACAAATACATTAAAAGATACTCAACATCATTAATTATCAGGGAAATGTAAATCAAAACTATATGAGATATTGTCTTACCCTTGTTAGAATGGCTGTAATAAAAAAAAAAGTAGCAAGTACTAGCAAGATTGTAGAGAAAAGGGAACCCTTTTACACTGTTGTGTACCATGTAAAATGGCCCAGCAGCTATGGAAAACAGTATGGTGGTTCCTCAAAAAATTAAAAATAGAACTACCATATGATCCAGCAGTCCCGCTCTGGGTATATATAAAAAAGAAATTGAAATCAGGTCCTCAAAGAGATCTCCACTCTCATATTCATGGCAGCATTATTCACAATGGTCAAGATCTGGAAACAACCCAAATGTCCATCAACAGATGAATGGATTAAGAAAATGTAATATACACAGATAAACAGAATTAAAAATAAAATCATATGAATATTTCAATAGACACAGAAAAAGCATTTGATAATATCCAACATCCCTTTGTAAAAAAAAAATCCCTCAATAAATCAAGCAACCAAGAAACATACCTCAAAATAATAAGTCATCTATTACAAACCCACAGCCAACATCATACTGAATGGGCAAAAGTTGGAAGCCTTTCCCCTAAGAACCAAAGCAAGACAAGGATGTCCACTCTCACAACTTCTCTTCAACATAGTACTGGAAGTCCTAGCCAGAGCAATCAAACAAGAGAAAGAAATAAAAGGCATCCTAATAAAAAAAAAAAGAGAAAGTCAAATTATCTCTGTTCACTGATGATATGATTCTATACCTAGAAAACCCTAAAGAGTTCCCCCAATAAAGTTTCAGAATACAGAATCAACATACAAAAATAAATAGCATTTCTATACACTAATAACATTCAAACTAAGAACCAAATAAAGAGCACAATCACATTTACAATACACACACACACACACACACACACACACACACACACATATCTAGGAAGATATCTAACCTAGGAGGTAAAAAAATCTCTGTAAGGAGAACTATAAGGTATTAATGAAATAAATCATAAATGATACAAACAAATGGAAAAATATACCAAGCTCAATGGATGGGAAGAATCATTGTCATTAAAATGTCCATATTGCTCAAAGCAATCTACAGATTCAAAGCAATTCCTATTAAACCATTAATGTCATTTTTCACACAATTAGAAAAAAAAATTTTTAAATCCACACATGGAACCAAAAATGAGCCCAAAAAGCCAAAGTAATCCTAAGCAAAAAGAAAATACTGAAGGCATCACGTTACTCTACTTCAAACTATACCATAAGGTTACAATAACCCAAACAGTGTGCTACTGGTACAAAAATAGACAAATAAACCAATGGAACAGAATAGAAAACCCAGAAATAAAGCCACACATCTGCAACCAACTGATCATTGACAAAAGTTGGCAAAAATAAACATTGGGAAAAGGACATCTTATTTAATAATGGTGCTGGAAAAACTGGCTAACCATATGCAGAAGAATGAAATTGCACCCCTACCTCTCGCCACATACAAAAATTAAGTCTAGATAGATTAAAGACTTAAATGTGAGATTTCAAACTAAAAAACATTTAGAAGAAAACCTAGGAAAAATTATTCTAGACATTAGCCTAGGCGAAGAATTTATGACTAAGTCCTCAAAGGCAAATGCAACAAAAACAAAGATGACAAATCAGACTTAATCAAACTAAAAAGCTCAAAGCAAAAGAAACAAGCAACAGAGTAAACAGACAACTTACAGAATGGGAGAAAATATTTGCACACTATGCATCTAACAAAGAACTAATATCCACAATCTATACAGAACTTAAACAAATCAACAAGAAAAAAAAAAAACATTAAAAGTGGACAAAGGCCCAAGCACAGTGGCTCACACCTATAATCCCAACACTTTGGGAGGCTGAGGTAGGCAGATCATGAGGTCAAGACATCAAGATCATCCTGGCCAACATGGTGAAACTCCGTTTCTACTAAAAATACTAAAATTAGCTGGGTATAATGGTGCATGCCTGTAGTCCCAGCTTCTCAGGAGTCTGAGGCAGGAGAATTGCTTGAACCCTGGAGGTGGAGCTTGCAGTGAGCGGAGATCATGCCACTGTACTCCAGCCTGGCAACAAAGCAAGAGTCTGT